AGATATCAATTCCAGTACTATCATTATCTATGTACAACATTTAATAATTATTAAAGAGTACAATCATTAGTAATACTACAGACTCACAGGATGTCCAATGGTGACCACTCCATGAAGTTTAACAACATTAGGATGATGAAACTGACCCATAATGGCTGCCTCTTGTAGAAACTTTACTCTCTCATTCTCTGAAGTTTTATCATTAAGTGTTTTAATAGCAACAGAGACTGATCCAGCAGTAGGTGTAGTCCATAGTCCTTTATTAACTGTACCAAACTGTCCTGATCCTAAATAATCTGTTACTCTATTGGAGTGAGAATGTGTACATATTCACGAAGCCATACATGGTACTGTTGAGATTATCTCTTCCTGTTACTGTCCTTATGTATTCTCCCTCCCTCTCTCTCTCTCTCTTACTTTATTTGGTGTCTTATAATTTCTCTGTATTTCCTATCAGATAATTGTTGGTATATACCATCAGTATTACTATCAGGTTCCCAGTACTCAGTATCTTCTATAAAGAATGCATTACCACCAGTATGATCAAGTCTTGAATATGCAGAGGAATACTAAAAATAAAATAATGTAATCTTCTGTATATATCATTTGTATATAAACTATATCATATATTATGTGTTTTGTACCTGCTCATTCATTAATTTGGAATAAATGTCTTGTTGTTGTTTTCCCCCACCCATACGTTCATTCTAGATTTTCATTAGCACATTAAATTATTATCATTCATGATTACAATTAACATACTGCTGTGGGAACATAGAGTGCTTCTGCCAATAAATTGTAAGTTTCATTTTCAATTTGATCAATAGTCTAAAAACATAGTGATAAACAAACTGATTTAGTTACAGCATGACATACAACATTAATTATGCATTCATTATTATTGGGTTTAATGTTTATTATTATCATTATTCTACTTTATGTTGTCTTTTCATAGTTATTGTTGGCTCTTCATAAAGTGCTGGTATTGGACTTACACCTGTATAAGGAATAAAATAATATTTATATAAATATATTTAAGCTAACTTATGACTATACCTGTAGCAGCTGCATAACGATCATTAGTAACTATTGTCTCACTGTACACTGATTCTATCCCATTCATTACTGGCTTTGCCTCTTCATATAGAACTGGACCCATATCTATAGCAAAATGATGTAGTAATAGTATTATAATGTAGTATGTAATGATTGCTGTTATTGATATCACTAGTAAATCTATAGTAATAGTAAAAGCTATAATGCATTGTAATTTAATACCTTGTGGTTGGTAGATAGGATTAGACATGTTATTCAGTTCTGTCTTTTTCTCAGTTGAACGTGTATCCATTAGAGAATTACCGCTTGATGATAGCTTTTGGTGTCGTCTTTTATACACTAATACACTCACTATTAATATTACTAGTATAGTAACTACCAGTAATATAAATACTGTACTAAGTACTGCTGCTAGTGTATTACTGCCAGTACTGTTTTGAAATGTACCTTCAGTAGATACTGTAACTGATGGATTACTGGTTGAACTATCAGTAACTGATGTACTACTGATGGTTGATACTATAGGAGGAGGACTGACTGTACCATCACTGATTGATGGAGTAGGCCGACTAACAGGAAGAGTTGGAGGGAGAGTATTTGATGATTGAGAAGGTGTGTTTGTGATGTGAAGTGTATTGTTTATTGATTGAATTTGTTTGGGGGAACTTGTCATCAAGGATGATGATGATGATCTAGTCTGCAACAAGGTAGTGGATGGTATGTTCATATTAGTAGTAGTTGTTGTTATTGTAGTAGCATTTGGAGTGTGAGAGTTTATTTGTGTACGAATAATATCAGTAGTCATAGTAATGATAGTAGTAGTAGTAGAGGGAGTTTCTGGTATTGATGGACTTGGCCCTACAAGGAACAACAAAGCAACAGTGATAGTTACTATTGAATTACAATACATAACTTACCTACTACAACTGATATCAGTGGATAGTCATTATGTTCCAATGGTATTAATCCATCACTGCTATCATCAAGCTGATAATTCAATGGTCCATTGTATTGTTGATAATACATTGGATTACTATTAGTGGTTACATTGATTACTAATATATCTCCATACTCTACTTCAATATCACTTGTAAAGTTATATACATTACCATTACTTGATGTAGCAGCAGAAGCATCAACAGTTAGTGCATGAATCAGTTCAGAAGAACGTTTTAAATAAATGTTAGGATAATGTTTGCTTGTATCCTGATTCTGTGTAATACCAATTATCCAGTTAGTAATAATACCATTACATGTGAACTGTATATCAGGAAAAGCTCTTGTATCATTGACTGGTATTACATTAGTAACTGATAGACTGCTTGTATTAAATGAACTGTCAATTGGAGGATAACTGCAACTGTTACCTATAAATACATTAAAATAATGAATACATTTCATTAATGACATACCTAATGTAGTTGGATGTATTAAGATACTTGAGGTTTGTAATATTATTTCAAGATCTTCGGGATCTTTGTCAACCCTATCATCTCTAACATCAGCTACTCTTCCAATTTGGCCAGTACCAGTTACTTTATAAAATCTAACAACACTTCTATCATCAGGAGGTTGATATACTCCTAGTTTGTAACCTCTGGTACCACTACGTGTCCGCTCCCTAATATTCAAAGGAGTAGGTAGTGTATAACGATACAGTCCATTGGTAGTGAAATTGTCTGGAGATAATCTAAGTTCAACAGCTACTGGGTCTCTATAATGACCTCCTGGTTTCTCTCCATATCTCTATTTTAGGATATTGGTTCCTATTACCAGTTACAGTTCTAATGTCAACTCCAACTAATACTTCAGTCAGTGAACTCATGCAATTCTTACTGAATTTCTTATCTCCTTCAGTCATGATCCATCTTGTTTCTACTGATTCTGCTAGTCCTGCAGTAGCTGGTCCATTGTTGTTAGTACTGCCAGTTTTAGCCTCCAGTAAACTTAGTTCCATAAATCCTTCAGTACTACAATCATTAGACTGTACTGTACCATTTAACAATAACAACAATAAAGAAAGGAGAGAGAGAGAATTTGAAAGACACATCCTTGACTGTTTTCTGTTTGCTTCCGATACATTAAAGCATTTCAGCCACACCTTTCAGCTTGCAGCTATGTATTAAAATAATTCATAAATCAATAAAGCCACACCCATCCAATTGCATTTTAATAAAATGGCGGCAGCAGGGCCAGCTGTAGTGAATGTTAAAGACTGGATCCATTGTAATCACTGCTATACTGAACCTCCTAAGGATAGGAGGAACACTCAGTTTATTATAACGTCGTGTGGTCATCTATTTTGTGGGAAATGTTATGGTATTAACATAGAATCTATAAAAATTTTGGATTTAATTGTATTTTTAGGTGAGAGAGAGAAATTTTGTCTGGTGTGTAAGGCATCATGTAGTGTAGTTGATCTGTCAAAACAAGTAAATTAAAATAAATTATGATTAATTGATTGTTATATCTCTCTCTCCCTCTAAAGGTTCCACCAGATGTCATGATATATTTCCACACTCCTGAGTCCATTATACAGAGATTCATCTTCCAATTCGAACGAGTATGTACATGACGACATGTATGACCATATATGGGCAACTATTTAAACCACACCCAATCAATGCCACACCCACATGTATTTATTACATATACTTTTATTAGGTATCTAAATTTCAAAGGGAGCAAAGGACTAGATTAGTAAAACACAAAATACAGAAAGTTAGTTATTAATTAACTATTATTTAATTAATTAACTATTAATTAACCATTATTAGTTGCGGGAGGTTGCTGAAAGGAAGGAGAGGGAGATATTGTTATATGAAAAGTAACTTATTGTGTATTATAATTAATTAATGAATTACTTAATTGTTTGATTTTATAGGGAAAATGCTAGACTTAGACAAATTAAACTAAGTGTAAGTATTAACTGGAATATTACCTTTCTCTTTTCATTTTAACCTCTCTCTCTCTCTCTCTCTCTCTCTCTCTCTCTCTCTCTCTCTCTCTCTCTCTCTCTCTCTCCTCTCTCTCCCTTCCTCCATTAGTTGGAATCAAGATCTGTTTCCGTTCGTCCTTTATCATCAAACTCTACTACCTTACGTCCTCCTCCTTCAATACTAAGAACCGGGTGTGGTCCCATACAGACCCCGCCCAGTTTTACAAGGCCACGCCCATCAATGACCCTACCACCATCACGTGGGTTCCTCCATCACTAGCAGATAGACCAGTGGGGGAGTCAATACATA